CCTGAGCCTGAGCAGAACGTTTCCCTTTGGGCAGCTGAGGCTTGGCCCGTGCCACGTGGCTGCTGGCGCTGCTGGCTGACCTGTCCCACCTGCCACCATAAAGCAGTGTCAGGTGTCCTGGGGGCCAGCCAGTCCTTTGTCCCCTGTGGATAATGATGTCTGAGAACTTTTCTCCAGGTCAAAGGCAGCCTGATTTCTAGGGGAGACTCCCAACACTTGAGAGTCTCTGACCATCTCTGCCACCCTGACAAATATTGTTATTTTCTGAATTTCTGAATCTGCATGGGCATTCAAGTGGTGGAGACCATTTTTCCCCATCAGGCAGGCTCTGGGGATCCTCTGGGGACCAAGGAGGCATCATTCTGGGCATGCTTAGTAACTGAACTCTTACATGTGTCATTTCTGGCACACTTTGTTAGTTTTGGGGAGGCCAACTGTTGTAACAAACAACCCCTAGTCTCAGTGACTTTCCATGATAAAAGGACTTTTCTCTTTTCCGCTTAAAGTGCAGTGTGGCTATTCCTGCTTGGGACCTCTTTTGGGCTGTCCCACCTCTGAGATCAGGTCTTTATCCTTCATCTTAGTCTGCTTTAACGTGGAGCCTCCCACTTTGCTGTGAAAGGGGGAGAGGCGGTGATTGGGTTAGGTTTCTACTGCTGCATAACGCTACTCCAAAACAGCTGCTTTCAACAACATTTATTGCCTCATAGCCCCTGGGAGACAGGGCAGGCCATTCAACCATGGCCCTTTCACCCCCAAAGCTAGCCCCAAAGAGGAGTAACTAACTCTGATTCAGGGAGAGTAGAGTTGGAGAGGGGGTGGGATATATTGAGGCTTGGACAAAGAGGGGACATTTGGAGGTGAGTGACAGTGGAGGGTGGAGGAGGATGTGTCCAGGAAAGGAACAGCAGGCTCCAGGACAGTGCAGCTGGGAGGGCAGTGAGGGATGCAGAAGGTGATGGAGTCGTGGGGCACAGAGGAGAAGGCCCAGAGGTGAGTTTGGGGAGGCACTGGATGAGAAAGGACCTAGAAAGCCAGGGAGGAGGAGTTTAGGCATTTCGTGGGCTTAGAGACCATTTTAGGGAGTCGGGTTTTCTCTAGGACATGGGTCGGAGGTATGCAGGCAGGCCGGAGGGAGGAGAATCTGGGTACTGTGACCACCCGGTGATCCCCAGGGTGCTGAGTGCTGTGGCAGAAGAAAGGGAGGTCTGAAACTCAGCGGGAACCCCCGTCTCAACCAGGAACATCAGGGAAGGTTTCTGTGAAGGGATGAAACCAGTGTCGGAGCAGGGATCACCCAGACAACAGAGAGGGGACTGGTAGCAAAGGAACAGGTTGGGAAAAGACACCCCCCCCCGTGGGGGGTGCTGATAGAGGGTGAGAAGAAGAAGGAGAGAGAGAGAGAGAGAGAGAGAGAGGAAGAGGGAGAGGGAGAAGGAGAGAGAGAAGAAGAGGGAGAGGGAGAAGGAGATTCGTGTAAAGAACTGCAAATGGTTCAGTGTGACCAGGGACTAGGGCATAAGTCTCAGGGAGATTAGGACAAAGAAAACCCGCCAGCTAGTAAAGAAGGGGGTGATGGGTGGGCTAAGAATCCTGGGACATCTTCTGTCTCCATTGACCCCTCTAGATCCACTGTCCACCTGGCTCTTCCTGGAAGACCTACTTTCATGAACTGCAGCTATAGGCCATGTGCCCCCAAGCTTCTGACAACAGATGGGGGAGGGGGAGGTGGGGAGCAAGGAGTGTCCTTCCTTGCAGGGCCTCCTAGCACTGCCTGTACTCCTTGACCAGCGACGGGCCCTGCAAGTGACACTGCCATCTCTGTTTGTCCTTCCAGGCTGGGGTGGGGCTGGGATACAGTGCTCTGCACCCCTGCACAGCCCTAGTACTGCACCATTTTGTGTGGTTTCCTGCACTTTGCACATACCGCGGAAAATCATTCCTTTGTCAAGTCCTCAAACTATCCTAACTGCAGTATGGCCTCTGGCCCGTGCTGGATCCAGGGTGACACAAACTGCTGGGACAATGGAGAGCCATAGGAGGCTTTTGACAAGGGGTGACAGTGTCAGATTTGTTTAGACTATTGACTATGGTTGTGCTTGGAGGATGGTGCACCGGGGAGGTGGCAAAAACACAGTGCAGGATTTGGAGGCTGAGTTGGGTCCTCAAGATAATTTGTGACCTTTATCAAGGTCACACAAGGAAACCTGGACTATGTGGCATGGAGGAGGGGTGATTTTGTTGCAGGCTTTCATTTATAACTTTTGCTTTTCATTTCTGTATACATTTAAGAGGTAGATACAACTTGCAAAGATGCTTAGAGTAATTTGAACACCAGTTTCTCCTCTACGTCAAGCAAAGAGCCCAATATCTGGTTGAGTACAACAGAAAGCAGAGTTTATTCAAGATCATTAAGACAGAGAGCAAACTGGCAAGGATTTAGAAGACAGATGCCCAGCAAGTGCTTTGAAGATATTCTAACTAGGTAGAAACTTGTTCTAATAAACAGGCACATTGCTCTGAATTCTCTGCAGCTTTCTGACAACTGCAATAGACAGCCTGGACAGGCCTGCTGTCTACATAGAGCTCCAGGTGCTGAGAGAGGGTTCAGGCAGGGGTATACCCTTCCCTCCCCATCCCCCAGTAACACCTCCAAATTCCTTCATACGAGGACTTCACAAAGGCCAGAGAATTTCTAGGATGTTCTCAAATCAGTTTGAGAGGTCTGTGTGGCCTACATCATCAATCTGAATAAAGAAGGCTAGAAAAGACAACTTTTCACAAGAGTCAATCTAGTCTTCAAATCGTGAGGATACCTTGTCTACACTGGCACCAATAAAGATCTTTGAAGGGAACATCCCATTAGTTCTTTTTTTTCTTGAAAGTTACTTCCCTTCTCCTTTGAAAGGACTGTAGTACTTACTTGGCTTCCCTCGGAGACAGAAAATGATTCACTTCCTTTGCCGATCCCTTTATCTGCTGAATGACTGTTTCTGAATTATCAACTCCTTCAAGTTCCAACTCCTTCCTGCTCATTTCTGCTTCTTTAGCCTCCACTTGCATCCTCCTTTTCCTTACATTGACCTTTTGCTTTGACTCTTTGACAAAAGCGTAATGGGATGAACCCCGGGAGCAGAGCCTTAGTGCACGGCATTGCCTAATGAATAACACACCTTGCCTGGGTTCCTCTGTGTGCTGTGCACACCATGGACTCCACAGTCTGATCCCTGTCACCCTGCAAGCCCTGAGGGCTTTGTGTCAGCCTGTTCTTCTTCCGAACCTTTGTATGTCTTTTCTTGAATGTCCTCTAGTGATCTTTTTACGAGTAATCTATAATACATTTCCCTGTTCCCATCTTGGTGAAGAACATCAGAATCCCCATGTACTGCTTATCATCCACTGCTCTCTGATTTTTATATTCAGAAATGAACACTTTTCTGAGAATCTGGACGTGGTGGAGGGCATCCTCTTTGTCACTGCCATCCCTCTTTTCCAGCTGTCCAGCTGCACCTGCAGGGACACCTTGTGGTAGCCTCATTAGCCCTCACCCAGCACTTGGTATACGTTGGCAGTGGGAATGCCCCCTCACTCTGTTTCAGCAGCCCTTGGGGGCCGAGGTGTGGCAGGACAGTGTGGGCAGATTGAAAGATGGCAGTAAGCAATGTGCCATTTCTGCTCCTCCCACACAGAGGGGACCCTACCCCTTACCTTGCATCCAGGTAACCTCTGAACTTGCTTTGACCAACAAAAGGCAATGAAGGTGTTGTTAAACAGTCATACCACCTGGGATTTCAGAGACTTGCAGTCTGGCTCGCAGTTTTGGAATCTAGCCACTGCTGGATGCTAGGAGGTGAGTCAAAGAAGCCCACAAAGAGGCCCAACCCATCTGGCCCCCCACTCTCCCAGGCCATGTGAATGTAGCTGTGTGAGAGCCACACAAGACCGGGAACCACCCAGTCAACCTGCAGGATTGTGAGAAATAAATCCTTGCTGTCTGCAGCCATTAAGTTTGGGGAAGATCATTATACAACTCTTAGGGGACTTGAATGGGCATGGGCAGGTAACTGTCCCCTTCACAAGCCTTGCCTTTCCTTCACAGCCTGCCCCCCTGTCACTTCCTCCACGTCTCCCCCCAGCACTGCCCTTTATTCCTGTTCTCTGTGACCTTGAGACCACATGGCCTCAAAGGATAATGACAGACGCCTCCATGAGGCACTGTGTGCCATGTTATTCCAGACAGGACGTGCAGTAGCTAATCATCTCATAAAATTATCTTCTACTTACAACACTGCAAATGGGCATTGTAATCCTTAGTTCTCAGATGAAGAAATTGAGGTTTGAGGTGACATGACTTGCTCAGGATTACCAAAAAGGGGTGGGCCAGGATTTGAACCCAAAGTTACACTTCGCAAATCATTCCCCATGTTGTAGTTATTGGTATGATCTGCTCCTGGAGGGAAAGGACACTGTTCCCTGGTGGGGGGTGAAGGGGATTCACAAGTACTGATCTGACCTCAACACCCTGACCCCTCAATATTGACTGGTGTCCTAAGCCCAGGAATGCGGAATTCTCTCTCCTCCTGTCTCACCCATGCTGCAGACACACACTCCTTACAGCTGGTCTTCACTCTCTGTCTTAACCTCGCTGTCCTTCCTCCCTCCTTTCCCAACAGAGCAGCCAGACATGGCAGTTGGGGTTGACAGCTCAGAAGGGAAGAGCCGGCATGGCTTTTCCACATTTAGCAGGGCAGCTGAGAGTCAAAAGTGAGGCTTGCCCAGCCCTCTTGGTTGAGGGATGCAGATGAGGAAGGCTTATGTAGAATCCTTTCATTTATTGAAATGATACTGATTTTCATGCAACATCAGGGTGAAGTTACAGCAAACTTCACAACCTATGTGATGCAAGAGCTGAGACTCAGGGGTCATTAGTCAACATGGGACACTGAGGCAAAGAGGCCTGCCCACATCAGACAGCCAGCGACTGAGCACAGTTCCTCTGACTACCTTTGGGGCCCCTCTTGCTGCCACTCCATAGCTCAGAGGACCCAGAAATTCAATGATGCTGGTGGAGGGGGTTGTAGGAGTTTCATGGGGGAGAGGAAATGGGATGTCCAGGGTGCAGGATGGGGGAGCTTGTGGGAACAGAGCTGGTGGCTTCTTCTGTGCCATCACTCAAGGTAGAGGAAGAAGAATCTAGTAATGGTTTGCTGTTCTTTTCCCTGCTTATTGGGTGACATTAAGCCAAAGGACTAAGACCCCAATGTCTTTCTGTTCCAGTGCTCTCTTCAGCATCACAGGGGAGCAGACCAAGGAGAGAGGGACTAGCAGAGTCATTGCAGTAGGAGTGCCAATCTCAGGGCCAGTGTTTGGACTCCTGTCATGATGCCAGAGAGACTTGGAATCCAGAGGGGGGTGGTTTTGGAGGAATCTGGGGAAGCTCTGGAGACCTGTTCAACAGATACCTCCAGGAAGCCTTCTCAGATCACAGTGCCTCTTACTGGACTTCCTCTGGCCAACTCTGCCTTCCGGGGCAGCCCCTGCTCTGGGAGGCAGTCAGTAGAACTCCAAATGTTTGTCGGTGGGGACGTTATACTTGAGCTTGTGGGCTTCAAAGAGGTCGTACAACTCTTTGATATACTGCTGGTGTAGCTGGTCCACCTGCTCCTGTGATGGATTTGGGGTCTTCTGCACCTCAATGGGCTTCCCCACTGCAAGACACAAAGATGGTGGGGTGCCAGATCAGGAACCAGCAGGGTCACAGAGGTCCTTGGGCCAGATTTCTACCCTGTGGACAGCTACATTGGAAAGTGCTCTGCCATATCTTTGACTCCTAATGCCAGGTGATGGGTTCCAAGATGTTAGGGTAACTGCAAGATTCTGCTATAAGAACAGCACCACCAGCTGGCATTGCAATGTGCCAGGCAGTGCGCTGGATGCTTTACACGCATTATCTCCTTTCATCCCATAACAATACTACAGGGGGAGAACCTCTTATTATTTCCACTTGACTGGTGAGGCACTGAGGCTCAGAGAGGTTAAGTAACTTGTACAAGGTCACAGATCCAGGAAGATTCAGCGCCAGATTTTAAATCATGCAGATGTGCTCTTGGCTTCCAGGCCATATGCTTCTGGGAATCTAGACACCACATTAATAGGGTCTGTCTTTCTAGAATGAGGTAGAACCACAGCATATACATCTCCACTTCTCCCTGCTTCTTCCATTGTGCCCTGCACTGCCCGTCATTCTAAGGAGGAGTCAGGAAACTAACTTCATCCTACTAGTTCTGCTTGGCTTCCTTCTCCCCTTGAGAATAGCTCTGGAGTCAGCTGCAATATTAATGCTCATGAAAATATTCCCACACAAGACTGGGATGGTCATGGTATAAGGATTTACCAAGACTGTGTTCAATTCGCAAACAAATGGAGGATGGAGATGGATGGATGGATGGAGATGAATGGACCTCTTTCTACCAATTTTGTCTTCTGGAGAGAAAACAAATGAGGTGTCCACATAACTAAGGCCATTTAGTGCTAAGTCCATGCACTAAATATCATGCCCATTATTTACAGGAAAATCCCTCAGCTATTAATTCATGGCCTATCCATTGCTACTTTGCACACAATTCTAACTGACTTGGAATGCCCTTTTTTTGTATCCATCTTTTCCAATAAATTTTATTAGATCCTCTAGGCTGGAATTAAACTTTCCTTTTCTGGTATAATAAAAAGCCAAAATGACCCCGAGTCAAACCATAAATTTGTTATTCCATAGCAGCCTGATTTTTTGGAAGTTAGTTAATTTTTTTGAGTCTCAGTTTGCCATTCATGAAATGGGATAATAGTCCCTGCCTCAAAGACTGTTAGGATAAACTGAGCTCCTGCATGTAAGGGAACTGTGCAGTGCCTGGCACCTGGCAGCTACCCAGTGGTCAGTAGTGGCTAGTGATTGCTCTTCCTTGTACCTGTTAAAGTTTTCATCCTGCCTTCTAGTAGGATTAGCCGCTTGTGTGTCTGTTTTCCAACCTAGAAGGTGAGATCAAAGTGGGATGTGTCTGGGCCTCCCCCGTGGGCAGCGGGTTGGTTGAGCACAGTGCTGTGAAGCTGTCCGCAGCCTCTACAGCGCGGGTTCGATCCCAGCCAGCCACGGAGCTACCCACATGGCACGGCAGACCTCTCCTGTCTCTCCTGCTGCTCCCCTCAGCTGTGTATTTCAGTCAGTCTGCTTGTTCTGACCCCCACTCTGTCTCTGGTGTATCCTCTCGCCCTCCCACATCTCTGGCCTGTACCCTGGTTCTTGTATGCATGAATAAATAAAATCTTTAAAAAAAAAAAAGGGATGTGTCTGGCCCATCTCCATATCCCCTTGCAACACAGAACCAGGCCCCTTTCCCTGCAGCCCACTCTCTCCCAGCCTGAGTCTTAACTCACCCACGGTGTTGATGGGCTGGCGGTAAGGTATAAGACCGAAGCTGTACTGGAAGACACCACGGCCATGGAAGAGGGGGAGGGAGATGCTCATGACCTTCTGCAGCCGGTTCTGGATCCAGCGCAGGTAGGAGCCTGGAGCATTCTCTACCTGGTCATATAGGTTGTTCTCTCCAAAGGAGTAGATTGGCACAAGAGGCACCCTGAAAGGAGACAGAGAGGGTGTATGTGGGAGGCCCCAGGGCAGGCCAAGCTGGTCACCTAGCTTTCCACAGGGACCCAGTGACCAAGAATTGGAGCAGAAGACAGAGCTCTGGGGTCTGCCTGAATTTGGAGGTCCGAGCTTTCTTACAGATCTGCCGGGTTCTGTCTGAATTTGGAGGTCTGAGCTTTCTTACAGATCTGCGGGGTTCTTTGAACCTGGTCAGTTCTTGGCCTCCTCTCGGAGCCACAAACTCCCAGGTGTGCCACTACAGCTAGACCAGAAGGCTTCAGAGTCCTCCCAGCTACAAAACATCTGCAAACTTTCTAGAAAAATCTCTCCTGCCTCAGGGGCTTGTATTCTTCCAAGAGGCTGGAAGGTGGGAGAACAGCTCTATGATATGCCCCAAACTGTATTCTCCCAGATTCCCTGGGTCTCAGATCTTGTGCTGGCTAGTCCCTTCCCATCTAGGCCCTTTGACAACGAGTCTCTCTTCTGGAATCTTTTCTAGGTATTGGTGCACCAGGCAGTAACATCGCTCATCAAAATAAAACCATCGTTGGAAGGGATTCAGAACCTCCCTGCCAAAATAGGATCTGCATTAGTCTCTGCTTCTCTCATCCCACCAAAATAGTATCCTTGCTAGTCTTCGGTGGAACAGAGAACGCCTTCTCCAGATACCCGTGTATCAGGGCGAGCTTGATAAAACCCTTGCGGTTTTTCAGCAGCAGCGCGTAGTTTCCAGGCCTGGCATCCAGAGCCTCCTGGGCACCCCCTATAATGATGGTCAGCAGGTTTCCACCACCTTTCTTGTTCAGAATATGGGCCGCGCTCTCCTTGTCTGATGCCACCAGCCCTGGGGAGAGAGGAAGGTGATCAGGTATGGGGTGAAGGGACAAGGATGTGACCCAAAAAAGAGACCCCTATAGCACCCACAGAGACATGGATCTCCCATCCCACCCACTCCAGCTGGGAGTCTCCCTGAGGGCTGGGACGAGCCCTCCTCCCTCTTCCCAACCCCCTCTCTGAGCTCATTCCCTTCACCATGTCACGGGAAGTGTTTCCTTGGGTCTACCCTCCTTCTCCTGCATATGCTCTTGGATGAAGTCCAGAACTGTTAGCAACCGTCCCTAACATTCTTCCAGACTCATCTTCTTGGTTACCCAGGGTGGGGAGACTCACCCGCCAACATAATGTAATCCCTGAAGAAGGGGATCCGGAACCACACGTTCAGCATCATCAGGTGGGAGCAGATGCCAGGGAACTTGGAAGAAAAGCCGGTGCTCTCCGTGCACAGATTGATAAAGGCTCCCGTGGCCAGGACTCCGTGGGGGTGGAAGGCGGCGAGGTAGTTCCGGGAGGGGTCCAGTTCAGCAGTCTTGATCAGCTGCGGGGATAGCAACCCAGTGAGCCAGAACCGAACCTGCCTGCTAATCCTGATCTGCCATTCAAGTGTGGCCTTGAGCGAGTCACACGCCCTCTCTGCGTCTCAGTTCTTGTGAAGGTTGAGATTCGGCGGGTGAATATGCCCAGTGATACCGTGATGCAGGCCGCGTCTAAGAGTTGCTGTTGGCTTTGGACAACTGGCATCTGTAGAATGGGGACATTTGGGACATTTGGCCCTGACCCATTCGCCTGTCAGGACTGCTGAACCCCCGCCTTAGGGTGCCCTGGGGATTACCAAGACTATAATTTGAAGACATCAAAAGGCCCCGCGGGGGCACCAATTTAACAAAATTCAATAAGAAAAACAGGCACTCGCAAGCATTCTCAAGATGCACCAGGACGGGGTTCCTGTTAGGAAAGCTGACCACAGATATGAGGCATCCAGGAGGGGAGGGAGAAAGAGAAAAGATGGGGGCGCGGTGAACAGCGGGGAGGAAGAGCATAAGGAAGAGCACAATATGTGCTGTAATTGCTGCCTTGCATCCTCAGTTTGCCTAGCAGAGGGAGGTGTGGCCACACAAAGATGGACAGAGGCTGGCAAGTCCTCCCCGGTGCCTGCACTGGCAGGCTGGACTTGGCACCTGGGATGGTGACTGGGGAAGGAGAAAGCTAGGTTGTGTGACTGAGGAATTGTTTCTTTTTAATTGATATAATTAATGTACCATAAAATTCACCTTTTAAGGTATGCGAGTCAGTGGTTTTAGCATATTAAAAAAAGGATGCAATCACCACCACCATCCAGTTCCAGAGCCAGACCCCTGTCCCCTAGCCCTGACAACTACTCATCTACTTTTGTCTCTGTGGATTTGCTTACTCTAGATATTCCATATAAATATAATCATATACCGTGTGGTCACGTGTCTATCTTCCTCACTTAGAATATTTTCAATGTTCCTCCATATTGAAGCATGTTTTGGTACATCATTCCTTTTTCATGACTGAATACTATTTCAGTGTATGGATAGGTCACATTTTGTTTATCAGCTGATGGACATTTGAGTTACTGCCATCCATTGACCATTACAAATAAAGTGGCTCTGAGCACTGGGGTATAATTCTTCGCTGGAACATATTTTCAAATCTCCTACAGTAGGGGGGTTTGCTCCTTTTAATGGTAAAACCCTTGCCCAGGAGACTAGAGTGCTACAGCAGACTCCAGACTATTGCAGGCTCTTGTCTCTACTATGTTTACCTAGTCTCAAGTGCTGTTGTCACTGTTCCCAAGAGCTCCCTGTCCTGATGGCTCCTTTATGATTCACAAAGCACCCACACCAATCTCACTGCAGCCAGGGAGTCTGGCTGCAGGGTGAGAACCCCAAGGAGAGAGGTGAGCAAACTGAGATCAGAGGGGTAAGTGATCTGCCCAAAGCCCCATGGCTGACCCAACACAAGTCCTGCTGTTTCCTGCAGAGCCCACCAGAGATAGAGCCAGGAAGCCCTGTTCCTGACCTAGGGAGATATTCCAGGACTCAGGACTATTTCAGCATCTTTTTCTTTCTAAGTCAAACTTGGAAGGTCCAGAGCTCTAGGGCTTCCTCTCTTCGAGGAAGGTGGTTTTTGCATCAGCTCCAGGGCCTGACCCTGGAGAAGCTGTTCATGTGTTCATGGCCTATTTATGTACCGCTACTACCTCTTGGCAGGTTAAAAATGCAAGCAGAACCTGATTCGGTGGATCTGGCACTAGTTTGGGGCATCTGAAATGTGACAAATTTCCCAGAGGATTCACTATACATCAAAGTATGAAAATCACCACTCGGTGAACCTTTCAGGTTCAGGCAATTGGTTATCTCTCTCTCTCTCTTTCTCTCTCTCTCCTCCCTCCACCCTCCCCCTGCCCCCGTGGCCCCAATGTGGCCTTGGGCAGGCTTTTGTCCCCCTGGCCTGGTCTCAGCCTTGTTTGTTCACTTTTCCACAGTCGTGCACTCACTTAACAGACTCACAGACACAAAGAGATGTTCCCTCAGTTCTAAAATGCACTTTTTTTTTAGCATTTTAATGTTTTGTTATCAAGATGCATTTGACAATTCTAGTTGGCAGTCAGGGATGGGAAGAGAGTCCTGCCCACTTACACAAATAATCACCCAGCCAAAACTGCCCATGGTACCCATTCCCAGGGGAGAAAACCTCCCCTCCAGCTACCTTGCTGGGAGGGCAGGTGGCAGGAAGAGTGGTGGAAGTGAACAGGGAGGGAGTGACCCCGCTCCCTGCAAGTCTGCCCTACAACTGAGGGGCAGCTGTGCTCTGGGGCAGTGCCCCTGCCGTGGCAGAGGTAGGAGTCCTGGCAGGGACCCTGGCAGGAAAAAGGGAGCATCCTCTGGATGGGCAGCTGGTGCCCTGACCCCTGACTCAAGTGAAGTGAGCCCAGTGTGCTGGGAGGTGGCAGGGCTGGGAGGCAGGGCATGACGTCCCCAGCGATGCCTGCAGGGCTGTGGAGGAAGTGAGGGCTCTTCCTAGGTGGCTGTGGTGGGGGCGGGTCAGGAAGGTGTCCTGCACTGCCCTGCACCTGCAGCATTTCCTGACGCCGGAATACAGCTCTGGCCACAGTGCTTTGCCCCTCCTCAGGCTTTGGCCTGTGTAAACAGTGTTTACTCTGAGACGATGACTTTTTCCTGGGCAAACTCAGCTCCCAGACTGGTCTTCACCAAGAAGAAGAGACAGCTCCTCCTACATGACATATTGCCTGACTCTCCCAATTTATTCTTTTGGAAGCTGATAGGGTGAGCTTAGAAAGCTCCAAGGCCCACAGTTGCCTAATTTTGCTTTAAATTCTACCACTTGACGCTAGTTCATGTAATCACAGTAAGAACTGAGAGAAACTAAGAAATCCCACATGTATTTGAGAGCAGAGGCTTGTACATGTGGGGGAGCTACAGCACAGCTGGTACTCCCTACCCCAAGTTGCTTGCAGGACCTGTGCTACAAAGGGGTGTGGAACTTACAGGGTCTCCTGAGAGATGGTTAAGAGGCAAATCTGCAGGCACAGCCTTACTCCTGCAAGCTCCCTGCCTAGGAGGGTCAACAAAATGCATGCCATCTCGCCCTCTGCTGGCCACAAGGTGGTACTATCTGCCTTCTGCAGGTGGTGATGCAACAGACCCACAGTGGGTGATAATCCTGAAACACAGAGACTTTCTGAAAATTGAGTCCAGTGTTCTACCAGCACAGTAGTGTCAAGGTGGAGAAATTGTCCTCGAGATCTCCCTGGCTGGGAGGAACAGAAGGATGGTGGATAGGACGGGCACAAGCTATCTCTGCTTCAGGTGCAAAGAGTGCCAGCTGCGGGCCTTTGGGGGTCCTGGACAGACCAGGAGACAGGCTCCTGGAGAACATTTAGTTCAAGAACCCCACTTCTGGGGGCCTCCCTGGTGGTGCAGATGGTTGAGCACAGCGCTGTGAAGCTGTCCGCAGCCTCTGCAGCATGGGTTCGATCCTGGCAGGCCGGGGAGATACCCATATGGCACAGCAGACCTCTCCTGTCTCGCCAGCTGCTCTCCTCAGCAGTGTACTTCGGTCAATCTGCCTGTTCTGTTCCCCACTGTCTCTGGTGAATCCTCTCACCCTCCCGCACATCTGGCCTGTACCCCGGTTCTTGTATGCATGAATAAATAAATCTTTTAAAAAAAAAAAGAACCCCACTTCTGGGCCTCCCTGGTGGCACAAAGAGTTAAGACGCTGCTCTATGAAGCTATCAGCAGCCACTGCAGCACAAGTTTGATCCCCAGCCAGGGAGGTGACCCACATGGCACAGCAGACCTCTCCTGCCTTGCCCACTGAGACAGTGTTATTTCAGTACACCTGCCTGTTTTGCTTCCCTCTCTGTTTCGGGTGAATCCTCTCACCCACTGCATCTCTTACTTACATCCCAGCTCTTGTTATGCATAAAAAAGTCAATCTTTAAAAAAAAAAAAAAGAACCCCAGTTCTGTGGAATGGCCTCTACTTCCCTGATTGCTTTATACCTGAAAACCTCTTCAGTTTCATCCCCAGGCATACCTTCTGCTTTAGTCATACTAAATGCATATCAAGCCAACTGCTCAAAGATCTCAACTTCTGGGCCTGTGCTTGTGCATTTCCCTTTGCAGGTCACCTTTCTTTCCCTGGTGAACTCAGGATTCAGCTCGCAGTGGGAGGTGAAACCACAAAGCCAGCGTCCACAGAACCAGAAAGCTCTACCAGACGCTAGAACCTACCCACGGTTTTCTTTGGCATAGGAGCTGATGTCACATCCACTCCCGGGCCACTTTCCCATGGAAACTGACCTCCCCAACACAGCAGAGTGAGACTGGGAAGAGAAGGAAGGAAGGGATTCCAGAATCTCAAAGCTCAGAGGTCTTGAGCAGGGCTGGGAGACCCTGCCTATGACCGGCCCCTGCTCCACCGGGACCCAGCAAGCTGCTTGTCTTTGCTGACAAGATCCAGGAAGGGTGTCCTGCAGAGGAAGCACTTCTGGGGGTTGAAAAAAACTGACTCCTCCCCTGGGTCCCTCAGGCTAGCTCAGTACTGCCCACTTGCTCTGCCTTCAACCCCTCTCAGCCCTCGGGAGCATGAAGGTCTCTGTCAGCCGCTCGCCCAGCCCTGTGCCCAGCCCTTGACCTCTGCCCTGCTGCCCTGCCCTGTCCCGCCCTTGCCCTTTGTCCAAAGGCCTTGTTCACCCAGGTGCCCTGGGGTTCTGCATCACAGGTGCTGCCCAGCCTTTGCTAGAACTTCTGGGTCCCAGGATTCCCAGAAAGGAGGGAGCCCTGGCTCCTGCTGCTGAGGGCCCATAGCTCAGGCCACTTGCTTAACCTCTGTGAGTCTGTTCTTCCCAACCTCTCCTCCCCCTTTACCAGCTGGGGGCCAAATTCCTGGAAGGGCAGGAAGAGGTGGGACTCCTGGAGAGGTTGGGAGGAGCCACAGCCAGACCTGAGTCAATTCCCCACTGACTCACTCAATGCGAGCCACTGGCTGCCTGAGCCCTCCCGGGTGCTGTCCCGCCAGCTCACTGCATCCGTGCAGCCCAGGGCTGGGTGTTGCATTATCTCCTTTGCATCAGAGGAGACTGAGGCGCAGACTCCCTCAAGGCCACACAGCTGGTGTGTGGCAGACATGGGACTGGCACCTCTCAAGAGTCAGCCTAGATCCGGCGAATCCTTCAGAGCTTCCTCCTCTCCTGCTACCAGAGGAGGGTCCTGCTCGGCTCCTGTGTCCCTCGGCCTCCCCACCCATTCCCATCTGCGCAGTGAATCCTGCCCGGCTGCTTCCATCCAGGGGTTTACTCGGTCTGGGACTGAGCAAAGGAGACAAAGCACAGCTTCACTCCATTCAGGGGTCTGCTTCACTTGGGACTGATCTTTGGGTCCAGGGTCCAGGGTCCCCATGGCCAGATGGTGCCCCGAGGCAGAATTAGCCATGTGAGTCAGGGTGCTCACTGGAGAAGGGAAACACCGGTTCAGAGTGTGCGAGGCTTTGCTGGAGGACACCTGGCTTTCGAGGCAGCACAGAACCCGAAAGCCAGTTCAGGCCTCTCCCCTGCCCCTTTACCATAGTTAACACACAGACTTTAAAACCAGTAAAGGGGCTTGCTGTGTGACCTTGGTCACATCCCTGTCGCCCTCTGGGTGTCAGTCTCCTCATCTAAGTAGGGACTAAATGGTTCTTTGGGACTTGCCAATTTATTTATTGCCAAAGAGTTTATACCTATATGAAATGCAGGCCACATCCTATGCCCTACAGAGACATCCCCCCAAATCCTGTACATTTACTACCCCTCATATTGGCCCCACATCTCACAGATGGGAAACCATGACAGAAAAGAATCTGGACTCATCCCCAGACTCTGGAATTGCTGCTTCCTGCCTCCCAGCCAGTATCCCGCTCAAGCACACAGAGCTGTTGTACCCTGTGGAGATGGGGTGCCATGATCCTGGCCACATCCCAGTCAGTGCCCACACTCACCGAGATAGGGAAATAATCCCTCATGTAATTCCAAATGATGTTACGCCTTCCGAAATCACGGGATCTGCCCCCCCTGCTGGGTGTGTCCCGGTCGAGGTACCACCAGACTGAGTATAGGACGCTGATGAGCCAGAATCTTGTGAAGAGGAGGCCTATGAAGATCATGATGCTGGTCTGGGCTGGGGAGGGAAGCAGTCAGAACTCAGAGGCATGAAAAGAAGCAGGTGAGATGCCCAGACCCTGTGCTCACCATGCCCAGCCAAGAAGCACTGTTCTGTCCATCCCGTGGCCCCAGGAGCAAACGACCAGCTGCCGGGCCTTCAAGGAGGAGACAATGGAGTCAGTCAGTGCACCCCAGGAGCCTGGATTTGAATCCAGGTAGGTCTAACTCTAAAACTAATTTTTGCCCACTGGAATAGGCTGCCTTAATCATTCTGGTCTTTCCTCTCCACTTCCTCTTTCCAAAAAAGTCATCTGCATCCACCAGGTTCTCATAAATGCCCAGTGGACACTGATAGGATTAGTTTCATTCCTTCAGGACCTCAGAGAAAAGAAAGGAGACGCTCTTGGTGCCCAGACCTCTTTCTATCCCCTCTCAGCCCCGTCTTCCCAGAGATAAACGGGGCCGGCTCCCTCCTCTTGCTGAAGTCTTCCCAAGGCTGCCCTCTTCCGAGGCCCAGTCTCAGCAGGCCAGCCTGTGCTCATGCTTTCTTTGAGCTGGCCCTGTTCCAGCTCCCTTTGCCACACACCCAATACTCTGACTCAGTGTTCCTAAAACCATCTAACTCTTAGTTTTTTCTCATGCTGTTTCCTCTGCCTGCAATCCTCTTTCCTGGTGAAGGAGGGAAGGAGGAAGCCACCTCCTGTTTCCTGTAGGTCAGCATAATCCTTCTGTATTTTGTATCTGTGTAGTCTATGAAGCCAGTGCCTAATCTGATACCAATGGTGCACCATTCCCAGAGAATATCACTCCTTCCCCAGTCCATGCCTTCCACCCAATACCCGTAGTCTCATATTCTCAAAGAAAGCCAGTTTCTGCCTGTGTATTTCATTTGAAAGTAGTATACACTAGGCCTGTCATTCCTGGCTGGCTTCCTGGAGGAAAGAGCTTTTGACATAGTCTGAATAGTGGTAGAATTTATAAGCTGGAGGATGCAGGTTGGGTCCTACAAATATATACTTTACATGGAGTACCTGTGATAAGACAGGTATACCTGGGTATGCAGCCATGAAGAACAGACATTCCTGTTCCTTATGGAACAGACTTCCCAGTCTTGTGCTTGGGATACTTCATTTTTCACATTTTTATTGTGGTAAAATTCACGTAACATAAAATTTATCATCATAACCACTTTTAAGTGTACAGTGTCACTGACATTAAGTACATTTGCATTGTTTTGTAACCATCATCACCATCAAGTGTTAAACAGCCTCCCGTACCCTTCCCCGAACCCTTGTCAATTCTATTTTCTGTCTCTATGAATATAACTATTCTAGGTAACTTGTCTAAGAGGAATCATAAAGATCTTTTTGTGACTGGCTTATTTCGTTGACAATAATATCCTATAGGTCCATTCACATTGTAACCTGTGTCAAATTTCACTCCTTTTCCTGGCTGAATAATATTCCAGGGTATGTATGTACTAAACTCTGTTTATCCATTCAGCCAGTCAATGAACTGATGGATATTTGGGCTGTCTTTGCACTTTATTTTTTAAAAAAAATATTGAATTAGTGACTAATAATGAAAAGTGGGGAGACTAAATATACAAACCTAAATACCTGAATTCTCTTGAAAAAACTGGAAGATGTTAACAACCCTGCATCACCTAACAGGGTTTCCAACCACCACGGCCTACTAGGGCGCTGTCCTTTTGGGCAAAACCAGAAGCTGGGTGGGTGGCCACACTTTAGGAAAGCCAGTTTAGAGAATAAAAATAAATTGTTCACGGCAGCTACCTGGACAGTGGGGTGATGAGAAGTCTTTCACTTGTAGGGTGCTCTTTCAGTTGGAGTGTGCTCTAATAGCATGTATTCATTTTGCAGTCGGGAAAAAATAAGTTTGGGGAAAAAAGGCATTCGGCCTTGAACAGAACAACCTCTTCCTGCTCCACCAGCCCTCCGGCCTGAGCTCACCCTGTCACCCTGCTCAGCAAGCCAAAGGCAGGCTTGTATGTCTTTTCAGTTGCTTAGCAAGAGAGACGCCTTTCACCTCATGTCTCTAAGAGGGAAAAAATTTAACCCCCCTTTACAGGGGCCCAGAGAGAGCGTGAAAACTGGCTAAGGTCACACAGCAAGCGAGTAGAAGGGGGCCTGAGATTCCATCCACCCTTTTGGGTACATCATGCCCCAACATTCACTCAACAATGGTTTATTGGTTCCAACTCTCCTAGAAGCTTGAGATGCTCCTGAGAATGAGACAGACTGCTTGAAAGAAGTTTACCTTCCTTGGTGAATGTGTGTATAGAGAGGAGAGGAGTGGAAACAGGTAGTAAACAAGTAATCCTTTGGAAAATATTTGACTCTAGTCCCTGCATCGGAGGGTCCTAGTTGACTTCTCTGGGTACTTCTTTGACCCTCTCCAAAATGTATCCTCCGACTCCAACATGAACCAGTTCAGCGAATGTGCCCCTACTCTCCTGCCAGCCTCTAATCCTTACTGTTCTTTAACACTCTTCTTGAATTCCACTTCTCTGTCTCCCTCCAAGCCCCATTCCCCTGTGCTAAAACACTGCTCACACAGAGAAGCAGCTCCATGGCACCTTCTGTTCCAGGTCCCATAAGGCTTGCAAGATCAACTACACCCAAAACTAAACTTGACCTCTCTTCCCTGAGTTCCCCAAGTCTTTCCCTCCCTAGGTCTTACATTCAGTGAGGATGATGCACCAAGCTGTGGACAAGGCCTGGGCATCAATCTGACCTCCCCTTCCAGCCCTACTTGTGGTCACCTACCCTGAGAACATCTCCTATATCTTTCTGGTATGGGAGATTCTTCCACCACCCCATTGCCAGCCTCCCTAGACCAGGTTTGGCAAACTTTTTCTTAAAGGACCAGATTCTATTTTAACTTTGTGGCAACTTGGTAGATGTCATATAGGTACTGACCCCTTTAAAAATGTAAAGACACTTCTGAGCCCGCAGACCACAAAACAACCAGTGGGTTGGATTTGTCCCCATGGGCCATAATTTGGGGACCCCAATCTAGATTGTGACTGTCCCTTGAAATTGCTGTTCCCCCGCACCCCAAAAATGGCAGCTGCCTTGGCTGCAGCCATAGGGACCTTTCGCACACAGGCTGGACCTTATCACTCACCCACCTAAAACTCTCCTGGGGCCACCCTTTGCCTGAAAGATAAGGGGGAAGGAAAAGCCTCTGCCTCTGGTGTTGTGGGCCCAGATCCCTTGGCTCAGCGGCCCTCCCTCTAGTCCTGCTGGCTCAGGGCTACTTTTTTTTTTTAATATATATTTTTTACATCATTTTTCATTTTTGCACAATGTATGCATTTTCATCTTGGTTATATTCCCCATACAATTCCCACCCCCCCTTGTTTTGATCCTACTCCCTCCTTCCCACCACCCCCCCTCCATAGTGTCTTTCTGCTTTATAGTTGTTTGTTGATTTTGATTTTTACTTTATTATAATTAGTCTTTGACCTCCCTGTGCCACTGACACTCCCAGCCATGGCTCTGCAGGCCAGCGGTGGACATGGCAAGTCTGGTACATTCCTGCTTGAGAAGCTCACATGAGGCAAGCTGCGCATGGTGTCCATCCTCCCCCGTGATCACCTGGCCATAGCCTGCCTTCTCTGGGCCCCAGTGCCCTTTGTCCAGGAGCCAGCAGACCGGCTGCCTGCCCTGTGCATCGGCCTCCTCCCCGTGTTCTCTCCACCCACAGGCCCACACTCCTCCAACCCCCTCAGCTCTCCCTCCTCCCTGTACCACCTTTCCTCTTTTCCTTTGGCAGAAAGAGGACATCAGGGCCCCACATCTACAATCCTGGGCATTTAAGGCACTTGGAGTCCCTGGGTAATGGGAGGGTAACCAGAAATATGTAAAATGTTTAGCAACTCTTAGGATAACACACACATCAGTCATAAGCAATGCTAAGGCTGGGGGAGAGGAATCCTTTAGGTACAAAATGGAATTTTTGAGGGAGAGAGACAGTGTGTGTGTGTGTGTGTGTGTGTGTGTGTGTGTGTGTGTGTTTACAATGGCTGTTGACTGCCTGTACAGAGTATGCCATATTTTAACACCACAGTGTTGGTACCTGTGTACACTCTGAACACCAGCCATTCCTGTGGCTGCCAACCCATTGCTGGCAGACAAGAATTCCACAGCCTCCCAGTCACTCTCTCTTTCCAATCCACAGCCCCAAGCCCTTCTGGGAAAGATTCCCTTAATAGAACTGGAGTTTGGGCAAGTGTAGCCTCTCCTGCTGCAGTTGATGTGTTCACTGTGGGATGGAGCTATTCCTGACACTCCCAAGCTCCCAGGCCACAGATCTGCCAGTCTTGGGGTGTGCAAAGCCAGCTGGGCCTACCTGGTTCCAAAAACTCACACAAGGCAGGCTGAGATGATAGCAGCTGCCCTCCCTCTCATCCTAAGTAAGAGGACAGAATCATCCTCTGGCCCCAGTCCAAGGGCCAGGCCAGGTCTGTGTGGGACAGAAGTAAGTACATTTCTTCATTTCACAACAGCCCTGTAAGGTCAGTGTTATCATCCCACTTCTACAGATGGTGAAGTAGAGACCCAGAGAGGTCCTGATAGGAGTGAAGGATGTCCTGAGCAAACTCCAGACAGGCTTTGTGGCCTCCACCCCCACAACACTGGGAACTACAAATCCCATGATCACCAAAGGGAAGGTTGCGAGGACCAGAGGGCAGAGTTAAGCAACTAGGTTCTCGGTTTGGGTGTTTAACTGGCCATGTGGCCGGGGGTCGCTGGCTTGGCCACCAGGCGTGCTAGGTTTTTGCCAGCTTACTGGGTCACTGGGATTCCAGGTCAGCAGAACGGGTAGGACACATTTACGAACTTATCTCCCTCTTTTTCTCCCTTAGTTATTCACTTCCCCTTCCCTTGTAAATAAACCTTTTATCAACCTTTTGTGTGTGTCTGCAGTTTAGCATTAATAAGTCCCCTTTAAGCACATGGGTGAGGATCCACAGTCAGGCAACCCCATTTTATATCAGGGTTTGCCCTGTTACAGTCAGGCGTGGTCCCCCTGTTACAGGGCAGCCCCGATACAAGGACATCCTTTCCCCCTAACACCCCAAGTTCACACAGCCAGTCAGTTGCTCAGCCAGATCTCTGACCTGAGCCCAGGTTTGCCTCATCACTCCCAATCCACTCTCAGCCATATCTGCTCTCCCCCTCCTATTGTCTAGGATCCCCTCTTTCCCCACCCCCAATCTCCTTTTCCTCCTCTGTGAAAGAAAGGAAGGAAGGAAATCGACCCCTCGAACATTTTGAGAAGCCTGGGGCTTTCCCACAATCGCCTAGATCCTTCCCTGCTTCACCAGCCCATCTGCGGCAGAGGCTCTGTCCTAGCACCAAAGTGAACCCAAGACCAGTTGAGTTAAGCAATCTGCCTAAAGCCACAGGTGGTACCTTCTCCCTACCTGAGGACCTCCATGGCCTCCAGAAGCCTCCAGATAGGTCCAAGAGGGTCCTCTGGGTAGGGCTCTCATCTCCACTAAGGTCTTTCCACCCTCTGTGCACTGTGTGCGGACCTGGAGTACAGGTGCCATGGTCTCCTGTCCCCCTAGCCCGTCCCACCTTACCCAAGGTCAAGAAGGAGAGGACCCACTGCAGGACTGCAAGGGTCTGCAGCCTGCGCTCCCAGGGCACGGACAGGGGTGCGAACTTCACCATGCTGGCCCCTCAGCCTCTTCTTCAGGACTGCTGTGGCCCCAGGTTCCCACTGGCTTTTGGTGTTGCCTGAGGTTGTGTAAGCACTGGGGGAGGGAGGAGGTGCCTCACCCAGCCCAGCCCAGCCCAGCCCAGCCTCAAGTCCTCCCTGCCCTCCCCGCCCCCCATCCAGGGACCTGTTTCCTACAAGAAACCTTTGACTTCACCTGCCTTGGGCTGAACCAAAGAGGAAAAGAACAACCCTTATCCAGGGCAGCTGCCTCCTCTGGAAAAGCCATCCTTATCTGCCAGGCCACATTTCTCTGATTGCACGTATCTGGCCCTTCACTTGGCAGGTAAAATCAAAGTACAATGCAATGCTGTCCTCTTCCCACTCACCCAATGACCTGACTACAATTGTTTCTTCTCTCTCCTGTCATTGTTACCCATAGGTCAAAGGGAAACTGACATTAGGAAATTCTTAACATTAATTCTTAACTGACATTAGGAAATATTCAGTGGTTTTTCAGAAACTCAGGCAAAATTCTAAAGCAAAATTAGGTTCATTAACATCCATTAGTATGTCAAAAGCCCTGCCCCAGGGGCCAAAACACCACCATTTTCTTATGTAATTGACCTGTGTCTGCCTAGCTCAGCAGGATTTATCCTAGGATAAATGCTACTTGGCCTTTATATACTATGGTCTGCTGAGAAATTGGAGAGACTAAGCTTTGAGAGCTATCTTCCTATCTCAAGTAATAAACTCTTTACCCTGGTCAATTGGCTTGGTCTGATCTATCAGCAGATACATACCAAGCCACCAAGCCACAAATCCCTTGAGTTCAGTAACACCATGTCCACTGTTCCCCTTCCACAAATTTCCCATATAAAAATCTTTTGGTCAACCCTTTACCTGCCATCTCCTCCACCTCCTGAGCCATTGCTCTGCTGGAAAAAAAAATTAGAAGAGTTGTCTGCATTCCATGCTTTCACTTCCCCTTCTGTCTTCTCCATACTTCAGATACTATTACTCCACAGAACTACCCTGGATGAATTCACCAATGGTTTCTATGTCACTAAATCCACTGGCCAGTTCTCACATCTCAGATCTTGACCTATAATCTGGCTTAGCGAGAATTACTCCTACCTCTTTGAAATTGCTTGGCCTATGGACACCACACTTTCTCGGTTTCCTTCCTAACCCACTGGTTGCTCCTTGTGTTAGGGGGAAAAGGATGTCCTAAAGCTAATTCCATACAGGCTTTGTGGACTCCACCCCCACCCCAGGCCAAAGCCAAAGACACTGGGAACTCCAAATCCCATCACCACCAAAGGGAAGGTGGCTGGGACCTGAGGGTGGGGTTAAGCAGCCAGGTTGATATAAGGCAGACACGTGGGCTTTGGAGGGGTCCCCCATTTTGGCTCTCCACCAGCTTGCAGCGTCTGGCCAGCTCTGAGAGTGCCTTTGGGTTTTGAGGTCGGCGGATCGGGTAGGACGCATTAAAGACTTTATTTCCCTATTTTCTCCCTGAGTTGTACATTTTCCTTACTTCCTTTTTTCTTGTAAATAAACCTTTTATTAACCTTTTGTGTGTGCCTGTAGTGGAGTATTAATAAGTCCTTTTTAAGCGCGCGGGTGAGGACCCACAGCCAGGAACCCGCTCAATATCAGGGCTGCTCTGTAACACTTGGTCTTCCCTGTGACATATATATATGCTTTAACAGTCGAAATGCTCAAAGGCCCTTCTGCCCTCTCAGTCCTGAACCACCTTTCTTCTCCCCTTACTTGCCTGGAGAACTCATCCAGGCTCTGGTCTTGTATTCTAGCTAAGATTTTGAAATCTACATCTCCTACACTCTCCAGACTGGAATATGTAGGTAGCTACTTGACACTGTAAAGGCAGGAATGGACACAGTGTAGGTTTTCTGATCCAGCAGACCGGGTAAAGGAGGAGTCAGAGTCCTCAGTGGTTTTGCAGGCTTTTATTTGGATTACCAGGTACACTGCAGGCAGGGGTGCTGGGGGGCCAGGAGGCTGGCAGGCCTCCTAGCCCCCAGCAAATCCGCACTCTCTCTGGGCTCTCTAGCGTTCTATGCTTCTGCTTCTTGGCTTCTCTCTTGGCTTCTCTTTTGCTTCTGCTTCTTTCTCAGCTTCTGCTGGCGTCCCCGTGATGCCGCCTTTAAAAGCCCAGTCTTAGCCCAGGTGAATCCCATCTACCTCTGCCCACACCCTACTCCAGGTGCCCACCATCAAGCATGTATTCAGGACCGCAAGGATCCATCATCTATCCTGATGGCGGGAGGGCAGAAAAGCCTGACATTTTCTTTACCCTACAGACACCTTCCCTTAAAGGCTGGTTAGGCATTCCATCATAGTATGTCTGAAACTGACTTGATTTCCTCTCTTGTCCCAAGCTCACCTTTGCTCTTTGGCAACTCAGTAAAGTTTAAGTCCATTTAATTAAACCCTTCGCATCACACTAGATTCTTTCTCTCCCTCTTCATCCACCTCTAGCAGTGGGTTCTCCTAAGTCTCTCTTATTAAATGTATACTTTGAATTGAAGTATGTCAAGCATACAATAAAACACACAAACCCTCAGTGTACAGAATGATGCCTTTCCCCAAGATGAACAGCCACTCACATAACCATGCCTCCAACCAACAAGTAAAGCATGACCAGCACCTGTGTCCTTGCCTGTCCCCCATCACCTGTTCATCATTCCACTCCTCCATCCTTGTCTCTGTTCTTGAGCTTTGTAAAAGAGGTTTTGATTCACATTCCTTTATCACAAATGTTGAAGATGACTTTTCACAAGCTTTTCTTCTGTGAAAAGCTTGTTCTTCATTTTTTCCCATTTCTCCACTAGGCTGTTTGTCTGAATTTGAAGTTTTTAATGTGTACATGCATAGCAATCCCTTGTTGGTTGTGTATTGTGAGAATTGTTACTCACTTTTCCAAGTTTTTACCTTGTCTTGTAAGGTGTCATTTGATGAAAAATAATTTCATTTGAATATATTCATATTTATCCATCTTTTACTAAATATGCATTGGCCTGATTTTGAAATCTTTTTCTATCTAGATTTCCCATGAACAATGTAAAGACTTGCTTCTCATATGTGAAAACAAATAATTATAAACCCTATTTAAATGTATTTAAATGAGGCCAGGAGGCTATCAGAGTCTGCTTGAATGTGTGAGATCCAGAGAAGGCTCCTTGACAACTCCGAGGCTGGGGACAAACAGGCGTCGGCTGGAGTCTGCAGGGATGACTTCTCCTGGATCTGAGCATCCACCCTGCTATTACCAAGCTTTCAACAGGTTTACTCCAGAACACTCGTTTGCTTGGTTAAGGTCTTACTGTCTCTGGGGGCAGCCGTGGCACTTCAGCCTGGGTTCCACTCTGGAAATCAGGTTGCCCTTCATTGGATCTGTGTGAGCCTTTGAAATCACCTTACTCCTGCTGAGGCGTTACTGACCTTCCCCCCTGTAGGGTAAGGTAAAAGGGCTTTTCTGCCCTTCCGCCATCAAGATAGATGAGGGAGCCCTGTGATCCTGGGTGCATGCCTGATGGCGGGCACCTGAAGTGGGTCCACCTGTGCTAAAAGACTGATAATATAAGGGTGGTGCAGCAGAGTTCGGTGTGGTGGTAGTGCGGTGTTAAGGGTGGAGGAGTAGAGTGTACGAAGGAGTGTTGGAGCGACTACAAACCACGGCGAAGAGCATGTGGCTGCTAGAACCGTTCATAAACCTGCTCGGAATGGGTTGGTTGCTGTACAACTGGTGTAGACGGCAGGACGGTTCATGGCAGGACAGCTCTACGCAGACGAAACCCTTTGAAATCTGGAGAGGGATCCCCGGATGGCCGGCCATGAGCAGATGGTACCCGGGGGCCGACCTCCTCACCCAGTGGGCACCTCCCCAGCAATGGCCAGAGGTAGATGGATCCCCGGGGCAGTTGGAACAGGCCCTGTATGAAATAGAAGAAACCCTGAGTGGATGCAGTGCCCGCGAGGCGGCAGGAGCCGTGGGATGGGTGTTTCTCACGGCTCTGCAAGAGTCCAGGCAGAAAGAGCAATCTACCCACCCTGGAGTGGCAGATCAGCAGGCAATCCTCAAGGGGACATTTGTAATAACTCTGTGGCCCATTATGAGCTCTCCACTCCTGCTGCATGTAGAACCCACTGATGCCTCTTCACTGGCAAAGCAAGTGTGGTACTCACGACCTGGAAGGCCACTGATGCCAGCGACAATATTGTCCTCAGATGCCAAATTGGCATGTATATTGCCCGATGGGAGGGATCTCCCATTGCTGGTACCGGTAACTTCTCTGTCTTTCTGCCCCTAGGAAAATTAAGTTTAGTCATTTTGTGATGTATTTGCTTTTGTGGTCCATGGCTGCACTGTTTATGTTAGCTTAAAAAAATTGTATATACGTGGACTATATGGCAGAAAACCCTGAGGGGGTGGACTGTAGGGTAAGGTAAAAGGTATCGGCTTTTCTGCCCTTCCGCCATCAAGATAGATGAGGGAGCCCTGTGATCCTGGGTGCATGCCTGATGGCGGGCACCTGAAGTGGGTCCACCTGTGCTAAAAGACTGATAATATAAGGGTGGTGCAGCAGAGTTCGGTGTGGTGGTAGTGTGGTGTTAAGGGTGGAGGAGTAGAGTGTACGAAGGAGTGTTGGAGTGACTACAAACCACGGCGAAGAGCAGGTGGCTGCTAGAACCGTTCATAAACCTGCTCGGAATGGGTTGGTTGCCTTACACCCCCAATCCTCTGGAAGCAGGCTTGGAGTTTCTGCTTGGGATTATTGCCCTGTCTGAGCCCTAAGATCAGCATATTTGAATACAGACCTTTTCCTTATTGGAAAAGTTGTGCTGTCTAGATGAGAGTCCTCCGGTAGGCTTCCACCCAATACCCTCTTAGAGATGGGGGCTTCCTAAGAGGAACTGCCCAGTTAGGAATTCTTAGCTCTAATAATGAAAGATAATTGGATTCCCAGCCATCTAAATGTGTTAGGGATGGTCTTCCTTCAGAAACCCTACCAGATTGACTTA